GGAGGGAGGGGAGGGGGGGAGGGGGGGGAGGGGCGGGGAAGGGGGGGGAAGGGGGGCAGGTCATCATCATGAGAGGGGAGTAGCTGGCCATGGAAACAGCCCTAAGCCGCCCCGAAATTGGTTTTTCATGAGAAACATTCCCAATGTAGTATACAGTGATACATGTGGGAATCTTTACTATTTTGGGGCTGGCCTTTTCTAATTATGGGGTAACTCTGCATTTTGCAACGTTTTTGATGCGGTTTCAAGCTTCAGGCGTGTTGACAGCATGCCGAGCATGATCCAGGAAGTAGCCCGCGATGAAACGTCTGGATCAAAACAGTTTTGTCTGAATCATACAGTCAGATGGGAATCACCTTGATTTGGACAGAATCCATCGCAGCACGTTTGACATTTTCCTTGCTGTCCTTGGTGCCATTCCATCTGCCTAAGTTATAGATGCGATACTGCGTAGCTTGCTGTTCGTCATGACTCATTACTATTGCCAGAGTAGTTATTAAAGCTGTTGCTCAACATATGAGCTATAGTTTAAACTCCTTAAAAGGGGCTTATATAGAGGATGATATAGGGGAGTGTTATAGGGCTTATGAAGGGGATACTAGGAGTTTAGATCATAGCTTTCATATATCCTTGAACCAACCCTAAACCCTAAACCCGAATATATTGTTGAACCCATCTGTAGTAGGAGCCCTCGTAATCCTTTACCATTCCCATATACCGTGCATGTCCCTTGCAAGCATACGCGCATTGTTATACTGGCGGTGAGTAAGGAATATCATCCCTAAATGAAGTATAGTCTAAACTCCTTAAAGGGGTGGTCTATAGGGGATTATATAGGGGACTACTATAGGGGTAATTAAGGGGTATACCAGGAATTTAGACTATAGATTACATACCCGCTATATAGTATCTTCCCTTACTCCCTACCAAGCACCAGTAAGATTATGAGAAGCTCCTACATCCTGGCTTTGCACCAGGACAACAGCTGGCCAGGTATGCGGATCCTGCCACTTGTTTCGCAGAAGCTTGCAGGGGGTTGAGGCTTTAGGGTTCAGGCTTCTGATTTCAGGGTTTGGGTTCAATAGAGTATATATTGGGATTATATAGGGATAATGTAAAAGAAAATAGAAGCTACTATATTTTGATAGGCTCTATGGGGTTCCAGGATTCAATGATGAATACGCTGGGTGGGCCGGGTGTCGGCCTTTCGGAAGCTTAGCAGCCCAGCAATGCCTCATGTAAGCCCATTGACCAACCCAGCCATTGGCAACTTATCAGCGACAGGCCTTTAAAAAATCCGTCCGCCAAGAAATGCATATATGATCCTTTAAGCCCTAAACCTTAAACCCCAACCCTAAACCCCAAACTCTAAACCCGAAACCCCCAAACCCCAACAAAACCCCCAAACCCTAAACCTCCAAACCCCTAAATCCCCAAACCCTAACCTCCAAACCCCTAAATCCCCTAACCCTAAACTCCAAACCATAATCCCACCCCCCCACAAACCAAAGGGCCTTGTGAAGTCAGGAGCACCATGAGATGTCGCAGGAGCACATCATCGAGCCATCCAGGCCATGGTCAAGGATAATGATCGAGTTAAACTATTATAGTATATACGGATTATATAGGGGTTATATTGGGATATAGGTGTTATACAGGGATATTGGTGTTATATAGGGATATTGGTGTTATATAAGGATATTGGGATTATATAGGGATAATGGAAAAGAAAATGGAAGCTGCTCATTACAACAGGCTGTAGGTGTAAAGGAGAGGCCTAAACACTGGACGTATCAATATTTTGGTTATGTAAGATATTTGGGGGTTTCCCCAAGTTAGGGGTACCTTTTTGGGAGGTCCCCATAATAAGGACTATTGTATTTCAGGGTCTATATTGGGGGTCCCCCTAAATTGGGAAACTACCCTTCAGGTTTATATACAGGATGTATAGGGCTCAAGGGATGTTACCCCAACAATGGATGATTAATCAAGTGGAAAAGACGTGGAAAATGAGGTAGAAACTGGGGCTATATCAGGCGTTCTAGGGTTCGCTACCAAGATCATGGTTAAAGAGATCTTGTCTACTTACCGTATAGGATATCGGCTGTTTTTTTTTTTAATGCCTCCACGTTTGCCCTGGGGTTGGGGAGAGGGGTTTAGACAAAGGCGGTAGCATAGGGATAATGGACAAGAACATGGAAACTATTGTACTAGGATAGAGTATGTATTGGGGTTATTTAGGCAGCATGGAAAAGAAAATAGAAACTACTAGATCATAATAGGGTATATTTTAGGGTTATATAGGCGCAATGGAAAAGAAAATGGAAACTACTATAATATGGCACCCTAGGCCCTACACAGCTACGATGCCTGCAGCCTACAACTGTGATCTAAGAGCACAACGACTCGCGTACAGGTCCCTGGTGAGATTCCCGGTTTCGATTTCATGTTCCATGTTCTTCTCCATTATCGGGTACGAACCCTGAACCCTAAGCCCCTTAACCCCTAATAATCATTGGGTATTAGCCCTAAACCCTTTACTATTATTGCGTATTAGCCCTAATCCCTTAACCCTTCCTAGTTATTGGGACTTAGCCCAAATCCCCTAATCATTATTGGGTATTTGCCTTACACCCCTAACCCTTACTAGTTATTGGGCATCAACCCTAAACCCTGAACCCTGATCATTGTTCTGAAGATGGTCATAGCATCCAACGGGTTAGGGTTTGGGGTTTAGGGCCTAGGGGTTAGGGTTTAGTACCCATATATCATGATATATGGGCCTGTAAGCTCAATTACCTACAGCTTTATAGGTTATACCTACTAATTAGGGGGTGACTACTCTTAATCTGTAGGTAACTGGGGCTACGGGGATTGGAGCCGGATTGACATTTTCAGTCATCATGATGACGCGACTGTGAAAAGGCAGCTTCCACAAAAACAATCATGATATGAACCTATGGAAGCTTTCCTACGTGATAGTTTCCCAGAAAAGCTGGACCGGAATATAGACACCAAAATACGACATTTATTACTGGGATCCCCCGGAAGGTAATTATCACTAGATTTGGGAACCTCCCCAAATCAGCCGAACACCCGCAAAGAAGAGGACGTCAAAAGCATGCGCTGCCCTCCAAAAGGAACCGAGCGCTAGGTAAGAACACGCTCCACCCATGACCATGTCTTAGCACACAACTCTATATGAGGGTTTCCGAATATCAGGGGTACATTTTTTAAGGTGTCTCAATAATGAGGAATTTAGAGTTTGGGTCTACACTGAAGTTCCCCTATTTAGAGAAACTACCATATAGATCATATAGTTACTGGTGCATGCCTCACTAGCTGTGAGTGCAGATGCACCACGTAGCCCAAGTGCTTTCAGGAAAGTTCCAATGGTCAAAAGGTATCGAACTCTCATAGGGCGCACTTCTACCTTCCAAGCTATGTTCTTGTGGCGCTGCAGCGGAAATATAGTTTTGTCGCGCACCTATAGTCCCCCCTAAGTAGATAGAATATATAGCTTTGGGTATATTACAATACGATCCCCATATATCCCATTCGATCTACTTAATGGGGACTATAAGTCTGAGGCGAACCTTAACCCCAGGCAGAATCCTTACCTCGACCTGAACACCTGAACGTCGCAGAGATTTACAACAAAAAGGCGAATCATTATTAATCCCCGAGTTCCTTTGTGACCTCACTTCCCAAAGTCAATCCCTGTGAAATCCTTGAAGCCGTCATACACAAGTCTTACCCAGACCGCTGTGGCCTGAAAGGGGTCAGGATATGCTTTGCCAAAGCTTTTTGACTGAAAGGATTCCAGGATAGCACTCGAAAGGTGGTTAGTCTCCCTGGCTCCTTGGGTCCTTAAACCCAGGGATACAACCCTAAGGGTACAACTTTGGCACCCTTGACTTACTGGAGCTTAGTAGCGAGCAAGGGACTGCAGTGACTACAGTCCCTGTATAAACCCTTTAATCCCCATATAATTCCTACATAATGCTTATATGGTCCCCATATAACCCCTATATAATCCCTGTAGAATCCCTTTATAAGCCCCAAATACTTTAGTCCCCTTATTCCCTACCAACCTTGCGAGGCCAGCTGTCGAAGTTCAAGATGCCGCGGAGACCGAGGTGGTGGCGTGGCCCTGAGACGGTGGGTTCCACAATAACTGAGTAGGGATATGCAAGGGGGGGTTAAGGTTTAGGGTTTAGGGTTTAGGGCTCGGTGTCATAAAGGTTTTAGGGTTTAGGGTTATGAGGATGTTTGGGTTTAGGGTTATGGGGCTTGTTATAGAGTGGCTTCTCAATAGGAACGTGGGCACATCACCCGACCCCGCCCATGAGCTACTGTCAAGATTAGGGTTATGTAGGGGGCATGGAAGAGAACATGCAGACTATTCCGTGATGGAGAATCAACAGGAGAACTGGAACATGAAATGACAACTTGGATTATATGCTGGTATATAGAAATGATGTGAGCTATAGTCAGTATGAGGCTTATGCAGGGGCCCTTGAGGGTAGACACAAACGGTTCCTTTGGTAGTTTAGTCTAGTCCCTTCCCTGAGAAGGACCCACGTCCACGAACTGCATAAAGATTACATGTTGACTGTAGCTCATACACAATTCCCTTATTTGGCTTGATTTCAGGGTCTGAATTTAGAAGGACCCTGCCAGCAGGAAGGGGCACTTGCAGCTTCAGTAACTACAATTACAACTCTACTCATAGTGCAAGTATAACGGCGTTGGCGGATTCAACAAGTAGAAAGGTTAGTCAAATTTGGAGAAATGCCCGAATACGGATGCTGACTATATTATCCTAAGCCCTCAACCCTGAACCGGGTGTCGTATCTTAAAAGATTGGGCGGCCCGTAGTACATTCCTGTGCGCGAGGTAGCTGGAAAACTTGCGATGCTCTTGGGAAGGTCCAGTACTACTGAGTTTTGGGCTGGGGGGTAAGGATTTAGAGTCTAGGGCCTAGGGTTTAGGGCTGATGGTGTAGGGGTTTAGGGTTTCGGGTTAAGGGTTGATGGTGTAGGGGTTGTAGGGGTTTAGGGCCAAGGGTTTAGGATATGGGGTCATTGTCAAAGTTCCGAAATCCCCTTCTACTTCGTCGAAACACTCCCCCCTGACCCCTTGAAATCTTCTCTTAAAGACGTGTGCACACATTGAACATTTCGTGCGGGGGAGTTTCATATCAAAATAAAAGGTTTGTTTACCATTCATTCACTTCTACTGTTTATTTGTTATTGCTATTCTCATTGCCATGATGATGACTGTGACTATTTTAATAGCTGACTCCCTCAAACAGATTGTGAATCACAGTTTTCAAGCCCGGTGTCAGGCACCACGCAGCTACAACTTTGAGGAATACAGAGGCGTTTACCGACGGTCTCAGCCTCAGAGGTTTCCTAGGTGGGTCTGTGCAAGTTATGATGCCTGACCATAATTGGTTATATATCTGTATATACATGTATTAGATTTAGAGTACAGAAAATATTCAAAATTTGCTTAACCTCATTTTCTGAAACTATCATGAAGTGGCCAATGAGGCAAGTCTTTGGTCAGTGCTGCCTGGTGTGTACAAGGAATTTGGGGCCCCCATTTCAGGCCCTACAAAGAGGCTTAGAGCACGAGGGATTCATATTGGGGCTCGGAAGTTCTCCTTCGTAGACAAATCTAAGACCCCCTGTTCTGTGATATTTGGGATCCCTAGGGAAAGCAAACACTTCTTGGGCGCAGGGGCCTGGCCACCCTAACCCCTTAAACCCTAAACCGTACCCTAAATGGCCTTTAAGGCCCCCCCCCCCCGCATTTGCAATTGAATTCCGCTGCGAATCTGGAGAGGGATATCTTGACCATATGAGCTATAGCCTAAACTCCTTAAAGCGAGTTATATAGGGGATTATAGAGACCAGTTTTTTCGGGTTATTAAGGGGGATACTAGGAGTTTAGACTATGGCGCATATCCTTATGCCGCAGAAGCTTGCACGCGAGTTGAAAAGTATGGACCCATTACAGGGCCCGGGTCCTCAACTTGGTGAATTGTTACAGGATGCCACCGTTTGGGAAGCCATTTTTTTGGAAACTGCCATATACAAACCTCAAGATACAGGTCCCAAAAGCCCATACCAATGTTCACTTCACATTAAAACCCCCCCATGGCTTGATTGATCAATCTCCATTCTGCGAGATAGGTTAGAAAGCCTATTTGGAGTTAATTTAAATCCTGTTAAAAGCGTTGTCCCGAAAACATTACAATTTGGTGGATTTTATAAATGTGGGGAGGGGGGGGGGTTATACTTGTGTTCCGGCGCTGGGATTTTATGAATTAAGGGGGAGTTGTTAATGTGAAGTGAAAATTAGGGCACATACTTCCGATATTTCCCTAAGGATCCAGATAGCCCAAGGTAGGTATCATTTATAGCCTCAGACCTCTATATAGCCCAATGAATTACAATCCCAGTTTATGTTTTCCATGTTCTTTTCCATTTTTTTAATTTTGGGCATTATTTGTATACTTGGATCCCTAGGGTCTCCGTACCCATCACTGCAAAGGCTGATCAGCGACGAGACTTGGCCACAGGTACTGCGCACCCTGGCATGAAGCTAGATTTGACTGAAACCCTAAGCCCCAAACCCCAAACCCTAAACCTAGAAATTGATTGAAACCCTAAGCCCAGAACCCCAAACCCTAAATCTAGATTTGATTGAAACCCGGTTGCTAGGTTTAGTCCTGAAGCGGCCATCCCTGGGGATATATCATCAAAAGTAAACACCTTCATACCGGAGAGGGGCCTCAGTTCGTAGTAATGACTGCCATGCATTTTTCATCCATGATTTGTGTATCACTGATGCATTTGTTTTTTTCCCGGTCCGGGCTGGAAACAGTTGTATGAACCTGCATCCCCAGCATGCCGCTCTTATCTGCAGCGTCCTTCGACTGCTCCAGTTTAGAACCACCCGGTCCTTGGTTAAGATCATTCTATTGTAGTTAGCCTTCGTACCCTAGATCCCTAAACCCGAAACCCTAAAGCGTAGTTTTCAGTTTATTATTCCAATATCCCAATGTAACCCAATGTAACACGTGAATAACCCTAATGTTACCCCTAGTTGTTGCCTTCTGGCAGCAGACTCTGGCCTTGCCAAACATTCAACCAACTCCTTGTGGCAAGGCATCGTTGTTGTCGGCCCCATCGGCGACACCTTTCGTCAGAACGTGGAGGCCCATTGCTTTCAGGGTCGAAACCATTGAAGCCAACGATCAATATCCGTTGGAATAAGCACAATCAAACCTTAACCCTGGTGCGTTTGGATCCGTTTTACAACTCATAGCCATCATCACCTCGGCGTGCCTTTCCAGATTTGTACTGCTTGTGCCGTTGCTGCTTAGGAGCCACTGCTATCAGGATCACTGCCTATATCAGCGCTCTCAGAATAAGAAAAAAGTAAGTATTCTGTAATAACAATAAGAACAGTATGAATAGTAACCATAAAAACAATAGTAATAAGAATACTGATAGAAATGTTAAAAATGAAAAAATACCTTTGCCCAGTGCTTAGAACACGCTCACTCTTGTCGCAGGGGTAGGTTAGAACTATCAACCTGGGCGATGAGAGGTGGCAGTGCAAAAGCCCTACATGGACCCTAAAAGACAGACTTACGGGAATCCGCGAAAAGGTCTTTTTTTCATTGGAATTTCGAGATGTCTCCATATATGTGCGAGATTCAGGCTTGTCCTTGAGGCCAGTGCTAGGATCGCCGTGGATTTATCATGAAGCTCCCTCCTTGCACAGTCCCTGCTATCGACATTCTGCTTCATGCCCCCACCTTGCCATGGATCCCGCATCAGGCACTAACGGTTAACGGAGGTGGTATGGAAGTCCTAGGAGTTTGTTGCATATCCCTTGTTATATACCCCCTACGTGTCTCCGCTAAGCCCGCTGTAGAATCCCTTTTTTCTGATGGTTTGCAGGATGCAGCTCCAAAAGTGCTGGGCTGGGATGCGTTGACTGTCACGGTGGGGGGGCCTAGGAATGTTTCGCCAATAATGGAGAATCAAATGGAAAAGATGATGGAAGATGAAATGGTAACTTCGCTTATTTAGGAACTCATAGGCTGTTTAATGCAGGAGTTTTCAGAGTTGAGGGAGGTATGTTTCCAGAGGTGGTTTAGGCTTTGCGGTGTAGAGGTCTTAGGGTAACAGGGCTTGGGGGACATTTTTCTGATTGGGAGTTTTGGGGCTGAGGGTTTGGAAGCCCTCTGCAGGGCGAGCGCGTGATCGATCATGGCAAACCTTTCTCGGAGGGCCACCTGAGCATTTTATGATCCCCATGTGTCTTGTATATCTTGGCACACCTCGAAACAGGCCCCCTAGTTTGGAACACCTGGATCTCTTTTTACATTCTGGACCATAGTTGGATCTCTGTACATCCTCAAGTCCTTATATAAACCATGTAAACCCATCAAAGCACCCATTGTTTAGATCAACTCCCAGGTGAGTGAGAGGACTCGCTGGCAGTCCGTGAAGCTGGACGTTCGCCTGCTGGCTGCATAGGATCCATGTGAGTTTGGCAGCTCGTTTTTGTTGGTTTAGATGTTGTTTTCTCAGGATTTCCAGGATTTTGGATGCAGGCTCTCAGCTGTATGCTGCAAATGCCGGTGCAAAAGATCTGTGGTTATTTATGTGGCATGAAGGTAGCGTCTCAAACAAATTGTTTTTCAGATTTCTGGCCCTGTTCCCAGGAGGCAATCCAGAGTCAGTGGATAAATTATGGCAGCTGACTCAAGGGTAGTGGGAAATTCTTGCGTGCTGCAGTGCTTTAGCATGCTCCTCGCGGTAAAGTATGGAAGCTACTTAGGAAGCTGTGGTGCCGATCTTCATCTAGGGCTTGAGGTTTAGGACGTGGATGACCATAATGGACGGCTCTTGGTCATCTGCACTACATTCACCCTGCGTGCACTGCCAGGCTTCACCAATCCAGATGATTTCTGCGCCCTGCATAGCAACTTGGCTTGTCCATGTTCACCGCACCAACTGACTGGGGGATAGGGGAATCAGGGAGTATAACTTACATACTGTTTCTATAGGGATCATATTGCCTTATTCCCTACTAACCACCAGGAAGCCAAGCT